CACGAGATAGAATTAGGCCGTGAGAGAAGCGGGAATGAACCCTCGTACTGTGTATTTGTTCTATGCTTTTACAAACTCTTTAGGTGGGGTTGGAGAGGAGAATTTATCACCTGCTGTCTTTGAGGAAGGGACTCCTGGGCAAGTAACTAAACAATTACTGAAGTGAATTCTGAGACCCCGCTTTCACTGGGGCCTTGACTGCTAAGCACATGCCAGGCAAACAACTCAAAATCCATACAAGGAAAACAAACTTAGAAAGTCAACCTGCACCGACCGCCCTGCTGAGAAAGTCGCCCTGCTCTTTCTGAGCTGATGTTTCTGAACCCATTCAAGGACAGAGATGGACCCCGGACCCCTCTGAGGCTTAGGGGAAGCTCCGGCATCTCCCTGGGCCCTCAGAGCAAGCGGAATGGAGGTAGCCTCTCGTTTTAGAAGGCCACCAAGACTGACCCACCTCTGAACTCCAACTTAAGATTTTCTGCTCAAAAGAAATGTGCTGAGCAAGGCAACCTCTATTTCACAAGTGCTCCTTTTACCTCTCCTTCAGCGGGAGGTTAATGTTGTAACAGTTCAAGGAAATTCTAAAGGTGATATGATGCATATATATGAAAGCATATATACACACCCTTGTGAACACATTCATCAGTACAAACATCACTGAGTGTGTACACACACACACACACAAACACACACGTATCCACGTGTTCTTGCTCTTGGAGTACCAAAGACAAGAGGTCCCTATAACTCAGATATAAGAATACTGATCCGAAAATCTATCATAACAATTATGCAGTTTTTTACTAATACACACCTGAGGACCTACTTCTCAATTACTCTGCCCCTCGGCCTCCAGTTATTTAATATCAGTTACTTTATTAGCATAATTAGAAGCTGTAGGAAGTTCTGAGATCCAGTAACGTCTGGTCTGAAGAACTGTTGAATGGGTTCAGAGCTCATTTCGTTCTTTTTTATTGTACTTGTACTAAATGTGAGCAGCGGACTGGAAAAGCCAGAGAGCTGTGAAAAGCTGGGCCCTCGCTCCTGCTCCACCTCTGAACTGCTAGTCTAAGGTCTCGCAACCTTTGGTAAGCAGCTGGGCAGGTCTGGGTCCTGGAGTGCTCACAGGACTCCCTCAGGAGGGCCCCTCTGTCACACGCATGCCCACCTGAGTCCCATGCCCAGGGATCTGGGCCGTGCGTCGGGGGGAAAGACCCAGTGCTCCTTGCACTGCCTCACCCACGCTGTTAGTGCTGTGCCCATCAAGACGGCAAGTGCTTCTTTCATTCCTCGAAGTGATTACTCATTTGTACAGGTGCAGTGGCTGGGGATGTCAATCTCTTATTTACCTTTTTCTAGAAAAATGTGTTTTTGAAAATACAGTTCCCCTTCCCTGAGGTCTCCCTGCCCGGCTCCAACTAGGTTGGTGAGACACGAGGAAAATAACCAGAATGCAGAGGAAAGAAAGAATCCTGTCAGAGTAGCACGAAAAGATGAGACACCAGGAGGGAAGTGCTGGTTTGGGCTTGGAAAGGCAGGCAGTTAATTCCAGGAAGGCTTCCTGGAGGCGGTGGCATCCTGCTGGCCTATAGAGCAAAGTCACCTGTGACCATGACTTCGGGGAGGGAAAGCAGGAGCCCCCGTTGCTGTGGGAAGGAGGGGTGCCTGGGCCCACCCAAAGCCCAAGCATGGCCAGGTCCAGGCCGAGCTTGAAGTAGGAAGTGGCTCAGACCGGGAGGACCAAGTGAGGACCATGGTGCAGATGCCAGGACAGGAGGAGCCAGAGCACCGGACCAGGAAGGATGGAGGGACAGAAGCACCACCCAGGGGGACAAGGGTCCCTGAGGCCAGGGGAGGGGGAGGTGCTGCCCCCAGGGGCCCGGCATCCCCATCTACGGGGCAGAGAACAAACCAGAATCTACAAAACCCAAGCCCAAAACAGAAGCAGAGGCCAGAGGGGGCACCATGGAAATGCAGGTAAGAAGCCAGGGAAACCCCAGGGAGAAGACAGAAAAAACAGTGAAGAGCAGCAGGCCACACCTAGAGAAATGGAAGAGAGAGGAAGCAGAGGGAGGAGGTGGGGTCCTGGGCTGGAGGAGAGACCTTGGCAAGGACGCCTCCGGAGGGAGAGGGCCGGCGGACAGGGAGGATGCCGCACACCACAAGGCCCCCTGTATACGGCTCTGTGCCTGCTGCCCAGGGCCACTGGGCATCTGAGACCGCTCCAAACAATAGAGCCTGGTTTCAAAAGTTTCTAAAGCAAACTGTCAGGGAGAGGAAGGAGAGAAAGGGGAGACCGCACAGACTGAAGAGTAAATTCCAACAGACTGGAGGCCACAGCTCTGCTCAGCACCTACACAGGCCCAGGTGCTACGTCACCTGCTTCCAGGGGGAAGGGAGGTCTGATTTCAAGGCCACCACCTGGAAGGAAGAAGTGAAAAGTAGCCTGGGTGATCTATGACCTGGGCAGTTTCTGCATAAATCAAGAGGTGGTTTTGCATTAAGGAATTAGAAGCGTCATGTTCAACTTCTGACTGCAGATTACTGGTTCCCACTATGCCTGGTTTTAAAAGCAGATAAAGTCAGCCAGGACCAGAAGGCCGCACAGGACAGCATCACCTACCCTGGAGCACTTGCAAGTTTCGGAGTGGGGGGGAAATCAGATGTTGCTTTGCACACAGCATGTTTCTGACCTTCCTGTACAGTAAGTAATGCAGTGGCCACCAAAGCTGATGCAATTACCTGGAAACAAACACAGCCGATTAAAAAGAGAGAGAAAAGAAAAGGAAGAATGTGCTTGTGTTGTAAAGGTAAACAGCACATCAGCCTCTCTGAAATACTTCAGCACTGAAGAATGCATGCATACGAAATGCATCTTGAAGCTTTTCCGCTTAAGTGTAACCAGTTTGTATGTTCCACTGTGCCACTTTGTGTCTGTAAACAACCCTATGAAAAGTAAAGCATTCTTTGAAATGACTTGTAAAACACAGGCATCTCCAGATTGCTTCATTAATTTTTAAAAACACAAATACAAGTGCATTTAGCTCTATATGGCTTAAAAGAAAGTGTTTATCTTTTCTCCCAATTTCATTTGCCAGAAACACCACACTATCTGTGATGAACACTTCGTTTTCGGGGAAGAAGCCAATGTAACTTTTCGGAAGAGACGCAGGGCTTCCGTGCTGCACAGGGAGGACACGCACAGCAGGCCATGGCCAGAAGCCCATTTCCATCTGAAACTTTCTCAGAGCTGAGCAAATGTCTGCCTAGACCCCGGTAAATATGATGGCACAGCACCAGAATGTAAGAGAGAGACCTAAGTCACCACACGCCGAGATCGAGAAATTCCAAGACACAGTAACGAAGTTACAATTCGTCTGTCCACTTTCAGCAACTCAGCCCCAATGCTGCTTCCAACCATTCCACAAAATAAGACCAACCAGATAATCCCATTTGCCTTACAAATAAATGCTGCGTGTTCCCAGGACAGACACAGGCGGAGGGGTCGCAGCAGCTCGGGGTGACTGCGCTACCACTCTGTCCTCAGCCACAGCCAGGGCCTCGGCTGGCCCCCGAAATGCAGCGCCAGCCTGAGCCTAATCAATAAAAAGGTATCGTGGCTGGGCCATTCCTCACTATCACGTGCGTTTTTACTTTCAAGATTTTGTTTCAAAATATGGGGAGAAAAGGCAGCAAAACTTGGGGGCGATGTGCGTCCTTCAGTGGTCTCCTGCCCAACGCGTGGCCCCAAAGCGCAGGTCAGCACTCTGTCCGCTCAATCCGCTACTTATACTTTGAAATAAAACACAGAGTTAAACTTACATTTGCTCTCTACTCCAGACTGGATGCAATTGATTTTAACTGACTAAATTATCTGATCTCTGCCAAGAATTTTATTTCATTAAGAAAATGATATTACGGAGCATCTGAGATCATAGAGCAGACTAAACACAATGCCAGAGGAGCCTGAGAGCGCTGCTGTGAAGGGTTGATTATTTGCAGATGGAATAGGGAAAGAAAAGGGGAAGCAGCAGGTCCGGGCCGGGGGAGTGGCCAGCCGCCCACGGCCACATCCAGCGCGGAGTCGGAAAGCGCCTCTGGGCTGCACCTTCGGAAAAGGTGGCCAGCTTCTCCCGGGAAGCGACCTCAGCTCAGCTCAGGGCGCGGGGGAGCGCGGCGGAGGCTGGCTGGGCGCCGCCACTGGGCGGCCGCGCTCTGCAGACGGCAATCCCGCTCCGGAGGCCAACTGCGCGGCGTGCGCCTCGGCGTGCGGGATCAGTGGGTTACGAAATCAACTAAAAGCAGCTCAGGCTGGTGAGCAGGACACCGCGGACTCCGGCGGGGCCTCTGGCCATCCCAGCCCACAGAGCGGCGACGCCGGGCAACGCAGAGGCCGCGTCCGCGCGTCCGCTGCGCCGGAGACCGCTTTTAATCAAACCCCGGCCTCGCGGGCGCGGGCGCGGGCGCGTGGTCACCGCAAGGCCGCAGCGACGCCGCAGACCGCGCCCGGGGCAGAGGGGGCGCGGCCCGAGCCGCACGCAGCGCTCTGCCCCGCACGGAGCCAGCCGGGCACACCGTGGCCGGCAGCGCAGGAGGGCGCGGTGCAGTGTCACCGGCGGCCGCGGGAGCGCTGTGGCCCCGTCCTGCGCCTGGGCCGGAGCCGCGCGGTCAGACAGTCGCTCGACACGCGGCGTCCCCGGGGCTGCGTCCCCTCCTGGACCGACGGACAGCTGTGCGGGAGGAGGGAGGTCCGGGCTCTCACCGCCCCGCCCGAGGCCCGCAGCAGGGAGGCGGACGGGGACGGCAGGGACCTGCGACCTGGGGGCTGGGGGCTGGGACCTGGGACCCCGGACGGCGGACTGGACGGAGCCGGAGACGCGTGGCGGACACAGCGAGCGGCTTCTCGGGATCGGAGTCCGCGCCCCCGAGGCGCCCCGGGGCAGCGACAGCGAGGACCGGACTGAGGCTCCCCGCCCGGCCCAGCCCGGCCCGGCCGCACCCACCTCGCTTCCCGCGGCGCCACCGGCCGCCCTGGCCGAGCCCGAGGTCCACGCAGTTGAGCAGCACGAGCGCGAAGGGGAAGAGGCGCAGCCGCATCGGGGCGGCGGGCGGGGGCTCCGGCGAGGTGGCCGATCCAGTGGGTCGGGTCAGGTCGGGTCGGGTCGGGTTGGGTCGGTCGGCTCGAGTCAGCCCGGCGCCGTCAGCATCGCCTGCGGACCGGGCAGGAGGCCGGGAGCGTGGCGGTCGGGCAGCCAATCAACAATCGCGGCAGAGCGAGAGACACCGGGCTGGGCGGGTCGGGGCCTCGGGCGCAGGTCCCGGCGCCGCGCTCTGGGTCTCGGCCCCGTCCGTCCCGTCCCGGCGGTCCGCCGCTCTGAGGCCGAGTGCGCGCGCTCACCGGGTCCGCGCTATAAGTAGGTGGCGCCGGCCCCGCCCGCCGCCGCCGCCCCTGGGTCCTAACGCCAGCGCCCTGGACCCGAGGTCCCCATCCCAGGGGCGGCGGCGGGCGGGCCCTCCTGCCTCTGCCTCCCCCTGGACTGCAGGCCACGCCCCCGCCACTTTCGCCACCGCGGCGGCAGCCCGGGCCTGGCTCCAGGGAGCGGACGCGGGCGGGGACGGCGGGAGGAGAATCCGGGCGCGGGAGTCGGGCGGGCGCTGTCCGGCGGCGCTGCAGGGCGCACGTGGCGTCCCCAGGCCGGGCTGCGAGGCTCCGGGCGCCTCTCCTGCGTGGCCCGGGCGCTCGGAACCACGGGACGCACCCGAATCGGCCCTGTCCCGCTGCCCCGGGCCGACGTCCCCACCCCTGCGCCCCGAGGAGCCCAGCGCCCCGGGTCGAGGCCCGGCCCGGCCCCGAAGGGGAACCCAGCCGGCTGGGCACAGTTCATCGCGTCCGGGCGCGGGCACCAGGACTCGGGGACCCCGGCGTCCGGCTCGGAGAGGACCGGGGCCCGCGAGAGGCTCCCACGGCCCCGCCTGCCCGGGCTCTGCTCCCCGCGCAGCCCGCACACGCGCGCCCAAGGCCCACACGGATCCCACCGCTGCCCAGCAGCGCGGGCGGCTCCGCTCCGAGGCCCTGAGGCGGGGCCCGGACGCTGCCCGGATGGGACGCCCACCTCGGGGCTGGAGCGGGCGCGGCTCTCTGGGCTCCGCAGGTCCGCGCGCGAGCTGAGCTGCCTGGAGCCGGCGGCCTCCACCGCTTTCCGCGCGCCGCTCCCGGCGGAGACGAATCCTCTTCGTTCGTTCCCTTTCTTTCTTTTCTTTCTTTCATTAAGCTTCTCGGTGCTCTTTAGGTGTGCAGTGCCGTTACATCGCCGCTGGGATCCTGCACCTGTACGTGACGAATCTTGCTTCTTATTTTCCCCCTTCCCTGGCCTCCCTTCACCCCCTCCACCCCCCGTTTACAGAGACCTTGCTTCCAGTTTTTCCTTTTCTCATACTTTTTCCTTTCCCTTCTTTCCTTCGCCCTTCCCCTTCAGACGTTTTCTTCCTATTTCGCATTATCAATCTTCACTCTTTTCTTCTGAAAGCAGGGCTTCTGCTAACGTTTTCCTGGGTCGTTTGCCCCTGCCTCACGAGCCCCGGGGGCAGGACAGCCCTGCAGTGGGCTGGGCTGCGCTGTCTCGAGTCTCCTCCCCGCCTTGTGCAGGTCTGGGTACCGCGCAGGGCAGCGCCTGCTCCCGTCTGCAGAGCAGTGCATTTTGATTTGTGATATTCATAGGCAAAGAGGTACCTCAGTAACATTTTAACTCATATGTCATTTTTTAAATGAAATTTTGTGTGCTTAACATGCTTACTCCATTTGTGCTGCCTTTTCCATGAATTTTCTGAGGAATCATTTACTGTTTTTTCTTGTTCTTCTGGGCAATTATTTTTGCTTTGTAGAGTATGAACATATCCATGTATATGACGTTTTGTGATTTGAGTTGCAAATATTTCTCCAACTTTGTCCTTTGTCTTTTAACTTTGTTTTGATGTCTATTAGTATATTGGAAATTTTTAAATAATTTTGTGTAGTGAAATTTCTCAATCTTGTCCTTTATAGCTTCCTAAAAGTCGTATTTGAAAGGGCTCTTAACCTGATACTCTCTTTGGCGTTTCATTGGGAGTTTGATCAGAACCACAAGATTTAATGATTTTATGACTGGACGATGGACAGCATAGAATAGGTTTAAATTTTTTGAATCCTCTGTAAGTATTCATGCTCACAGATTTGGTTGACTTTGGCCCTGGTTCCTGTTTTCATTAGCTAATTGATTGAGAGTTTCCTTATCTATTATGTTATCAGATATTCGTATTTTCATTTTTAAAGTTTCCCACAATCTTTTATTCATTGCTGATATTTGTTGCTGCTGCCTGGGCTTTTACAGGCTAGAATTTATCCTTTAATCATGTCAGGGCAAGTGCTGGCATTTGTGGCCATTCGGTCAATATCGATAGTATACTTTTCCCCTTTTAAATATAAACTGAGTACCGATTTTGCTAGTTGCACCTGGAAATGCCTGTTCATTTATTATGTTATGGATGAAGTAATTAAAGTAATATGAAAAATCTTCACCAAGGTCATGGATCAGCCTTTATCCAGGCTAATTTGTTGTCTTAAAAGTCTTATCATAGTCACTTATTTAGCATTTGAAAAATGTGTAAATATTTGGCTGCTCCAAATGTAGCACTGTGCTGCACTGCTGCAGAGCCCTCCTGCCCTGGTGATAAGGCGGGATTTATCTGCTCTCCAGCCCTGACGTCCAGGAGGCCGCCCTGCTGACTTCAAAGGAGTGCGAGCCAGGCCAGCCCTGCCCGGGGCTCCTCGAGACTTGACTGGGGCTCCACATCCCTTCCCTCCCACAGCCTCTGTTCCCTGGGCTCTTCTGCCCGACTGGTCATGTCAGTGTGGGTGCTGGAGGAGGCATCGCTATACCTAGGCAAGGAGCCACACGAAGCTCTCAGTCAAGAATTAGCTCTGTTATCTGTTTTCTCCGCGTCTGCGACACTTTCTGCTGCCTGAGATAAGCCATTGGACTTCCTACCCAGAGCCTGTTTGGGGACCAGCACCGAGTGGAGACCCAGCAGCTGTCCTGATGGGGCGAGGCCTCTGATTTGTGGGTGTGAGAAGCTGTTACACACACGTCGCTCACCCTCAGCAAGCAGACAGAAGCTAATGGCAGACATTTAGTATATTTGATTCATTTTTTGTTCTATTTCATGTTTTCACCCTTATTTTCACCTTGCCATGTTCTTCTCACCTGTGTTCGATGTGCTTTTCTTATTAAATGCATCTCTATGAGCCATTAACCTTGGAGCAACACAGAAAATGTCTTAGATGATAAAAACCAATACTCACAGGTCAGAGAACAATGCGAGACCCCTCTGCTTACAGAGGGGAACGGGCGTGTGTGGGTCTGGGAGTAATGGAGGCTCACTGGGAGCAGAGCCAGCCAAACCCCGTCACTGGCCGACTCCAGAAGCCCCTCTTTGCTGGACCACGGTGACTCTGTAGGCGTCGAGAAGGTGATGTCAGTCTAGAGTAAAACCTAGTAGCCCCAAAGGTCTGGTTCTTTGCCTTTCCTATAGACACCATCATCTGAGTGGAGGCCCAGGCCTCGCTGAGGAAGGCCAGGGAGAGGACAGAGAGCTACTCACAGGTCCTGTCCCCTCCTGTCCCCACAGGGAGCTGCGTGCACCGGCTGAGTCCAGGTGGGTTCAAGAGCTCTGACTTCACTCTGTGACTCAGGTGCACTCACGGCTGTGAGGTCAAGGAAGCACCAGTCAGCTGCCCACGCTGTAACTTTCCGCTACAGCCATGTTCCCAGTTGTAGGACGCCACCGCTCAGGTAGATTTCGTCCTCGGTTCGACATGAATATCAAATATCAGAGTCTAGCTCCTGCTCCACTGTCTCACAGAAGAGGTGCTCACACGGCGCTTGACTTTACGTGTCCGCATTTAAAGACCAGGAAATGGTGTGGCTCAGCTGAGACGCTGGAATCACCCCCAGGCGAAAGGGTGTGAGGGTTTGTTCGAGCCCTCGACAGGAGCCAGTGTGCTTCTTTGGGGGTCAGGGGCCCAGTGTCAGGACTCGCACTCACTTCCGGCTCCTTCTCTGGCCACGTCGCGAGGGGGTGTGGACAGATGCCGACTGTGAAAGATGCCACTGTGGGTCATGGTCCCCGGGGCTCCTGGGCCTCTCGTTGTGGACCGATTCTGAGCTAGAGTCGACTGAGAGATGCGCATGCGATTTAGGGGCGGGAACACAGAACAGGGCAGTGTTAGGACTTGAAAGTCTTCTCGGGAAGATGCAGCTTGGGATGAAGGCAGCAGCCTACCTTCGCCATCCTGGGCTCCACTCCCAGCCCCGCTTCCTGTCCTGAGACCCGGCCGCACCACTCACAACTGGGTCCGCTCTCCAGAGCCCGCTGCTGCCGTCACTCTGCTCTCATTCTGACCCAGCGGCGCTCCGGGACCGCCCCTACCCCTAGAACCTCGCCTCCTCAGCCCTTCACACTGCCTGAGGCCTGCTTCCCGTGACACACCTCTCATCCACATCCCTCAGCCACTCTTTCCCCTGACTGAACCACGATTGACACTGTTGTCTGCCCACTTGCCGTAATAAAAAGGTGACATCTTATTCCTCTTTCTCCCTGCATTTTCCCTGCACACCCCATCCTTCCAATGTAATCAGTATATGGAGCAGCTCCAAGGATCTGAACAAACACAGCACTCAGCTGATCTCTACTCCCTAGAATATTCCTTCAACTTTACCCTCATAGTATTTCAGCAACTTTTCCATTGATCTTATAGGGGTTTTTTATTCTAAAGGCTCATTTTTCTTTTAAAATTTTATCCTCTATTTTATAGTGTCTCTCTTCCAAATTGCTTTTCTCTGTGTTTGCTTTGGACTTTATCTTTCATCTTTGAGAGTTTTCTTGGTATTTGGTAGTTTGGGGACATTTGTATATTTTAAAAGTAGGATATAAAGGAAGGGCTTATTAAAAACCCTTGACAGCTGCCGCCTGCCTCGCAAGCACAAGGTCCTGAGTTCGATCCCAGGTACCAAAAAAAAAAAATACCCCTTGAAAGGGCCAGGAATTTAGCTCAGTGGCACTGTGCCTGCTTCGCAAGCACAAGGTCGTGAGTTCAAATAAAACCCCTTGACACGTGGGTGATGCTGGCCAAATTGAGCTTCCTTGTAGTAAGAACAGGCCCCAGTGAACTGACTGACACATTTATTAAGGAAATCAAAACATGGCTTATTTAATTATTTTCACCAGGACTCATCAAGTTCCCCAGAGAAAAGATTGCCAGATCTTTGCCAAGAAAGGAACTGAAGAGAGAACGGAGGACTGGGGAGAACAGTTGTCTTTGCTTTTAGTCTTTCTTTCCTGTAGAATTCCTCTTTTTGAAAGACTTTCCCAC